CAGAATATTGTATGCATAATAAATAAATAAATATTTTTAAAAAAAAGTCACCTAGAATATGAGCCTGTCGGGGAGGACACTTCACAATTAAACCACACTTCTAATAATTATTTATATGATATAACATATATATAATTTATATAATGTATAATATGTGATGTGCAAATAACATAATAACTACTTATTTTATTTATAAGACTAAGTTTTTCAGTTTTAATTTGACGTGTGAACCCAAGGAAAAAGAACTTAAACCCAAAAGCCGGAAGTCTTTGCAATTAGACGAACTGTTTAGCTAATAAGCAGTTCTCTGGGACTTTTAGGAGTAATTTGGTTATATGTCATGTGTGAGTTCAGGTGCTCACAGAGGCCGGAAGAGGGTGTCGGATCCCTTGGCGCTACAGTTACCAAGTACTTGAGAGCTACCTCACATGGGTGCTGGAAACCAAAATGATGTTAACCGCTGAACTAAGGGAGCTTTGGGTGGCAGGCATTTGTCCAGCCTCTCCTTTGCTGCCATTTCTTCCTAGGACTTCCTGATCATGTTTGTGCATCACTTGGCCACCATTGGGCTTATCACCTTCTCTTACATCAACAACATGGTTCGAGTGGGAACTCTGGTCATGTGTCTCCATGATTCCTCAGACTTCTTGCTGGAAGTAAGAGCTCGACTTGCTTGCTGCTTCATCTTTCCTCTCTCCCTTTCTTGACCTGTGAGAACTGACTTTTTCCCCAACTCAATTTTTTTTCTTTTATCCAGGCTGCAAAGCTGGCCAATTATGCCAAATATCAGCGGCTCTGTGACAGCCTCTTTGTGATCTTTAGTGCAGTCTTTATGGTTACACGTCTAGGAATCTACCCATTGTGGTAAGTGCTCAAGGTGGTGAACCGTGGCAGGTATCTAATAACTTTTTGCTAGCTTAGTTTTTCTGTTCTCTTCTTGCCAGTCAAGCACTAAGAACCCTAGTGCCCTGCCTTTTCCTTGACCTAGACTGACCCTTTGTGGACCCTTACAGGACCTTGGCTGCCTTACGCAGTGTTTCTAGTGAGTCAGGGTGTGTGTGTTATTTACTCCTGGCTTCTCTTGCTATTTCTGCTGCAGTCTTTAGTCTGTGCTTAAGTCACTATCACTCCTTTGCCCTCTTTTGCATTGACTACAGGGATTCCGGCTTTTCTTGCTTTGATTGTGCTGTATGCCCCCTTCCTCCTCCTGACCAGCACAGGCATGTGCACGTATTTCTCTTCTATACTCATTACCTAGACTACAAACCTAGTGACTGTGCTAGAAATTGGCTTAGTCTCAGCAAATCAACCACTTATTGCTCTCTGTCCCTAAGAATCTAAACCATTCTAGGGTTTGATTATAGGCCTATTGCTGTCCCAGTGTTGTGAAGCTGCATATTTGAAGTGATTAATAGTAAGTTGCCCCATCACTTCCTAAGATTCCATTTCTTCCTCTTATCTCAGAAGGTAAAAACACATTAGGCTCCTGTGTTTACTTTTATTCCCTATGAAAGAATATTCCTGTTATTGCACTAATGTAAAATGTGCAGAAGACTGTCCAGAGGACTCAGCTTCCCTCTGTCTAACTGGCCTCTAGAGCCTGACTGTTATTTCTTCCTCCTAGGATTCTGAACACAACCCTCTTTGAGAGTTGGGAAATGATTGGGCCCTACCCCTCCTGGTGGCTCTTCAATGGCCTTCTCCTGATCCTACAGGTTCTGCATGTCATCTGGTCCTACTTAATTGCACGAATTGCTTTTAAAGCCTTGATCCGGGGAAAGGTAAGACCATGTAGGAGCATGGGTATTATGCAGCAGACCTAGGGACCCGCAGTTATAGGAGCAGCCCACAGTCAGGCTAGGGATGCAGCTTAGTCACTAGCGTGCTGTGTGAAGACCTGGCTTTGGTTCCAGTACCACATAAACCAGGCCTGGTGCCATATGCATGCCAGCAATCCCAGTGCTAGGGAGGTGATGCAGGAAAATCAGAAGTTCCGGTCTTTCTTTGCTACATAGTGAGTTTGAGGCCAAACTGGAATACTTGACACCCTGTCTCAAAAATAAACAAAATAGAATGGCTGTTGATGGAGAACTGCAGATAGAAACTGGAAAGCCAGATGCTTGGGATGTCTCGGAACTGTGAGGTAGCTCACTAGCTGTTCTAAGGTGACCATGCTGCAATACACAAGATTGGTTTATATTAGGAACTAAACATCTACCTTGCTTACTGTTTGGTTTTTAGTGCACAGAACACAAAGAAAGATACCCCTGCCTTTTAGGACAGTACACCTAGCTAACTCCAACCCCAGGAGGCAACATTTAATGACAGGACATAATTGAAATCTGCAAGTTTTAAAGCAGACAGACTGTCGAGCCAGAACGCTGTCAGTTATGCAGAATTCCAAGTGGGTCAGGCTCTACTAGAGATGTTAGTTCCAGACTGCACAGATGATGTAACCTTGGTATTTATTATCTCTTGTCATTGTTCCTGATGGCTGTGATTGGTTTCAGGACTTGTGTGGTGCGCCTACGCATCTTGTTGTAGCTCCTGGACATCTCTCTTCTCCTCCGCCTTTCTTTCCTGACTAGGTGACCTACCCAGGGAGGACTAGACCCAGACTCTGTGCCTTCTGCTCTTCTTTCAGCTCCTCCCTCTTTTCTATGCCTGCTGGGATCTGCACAGTTTCATCCTTTGCATGTAAGTGCATCTGTGCTTCTAGTGTTGAGAGAAGTACCTGTCTGAATGGGTCCTCCTTCCCGCTGTCCTTCCTGGTCCCATCTGTCTTGGTCTCCTTCCCGCTGTCCTTCCTGGTCCCATCTGTCTCGGAATGTGCTCACTTGCCCAGCTTAACCTATGTGACTGTTGTTAACTGGAGCTGAAGTTACCAAAGTCAAGGACTAAGTCTAGTCTTTAACTTGTTTAGCTTTTGAGCCTTTCCACCTCAGGTCTGGAGACATTCTGCCCTCTGGTGGAAATCCCCTAGACATCAGGTGATCACAGCTCCTGATCAGAGTTCAGAGTCAGCAGCTGCAGTTTACTGCAGTCACAGAACTTGTCTAAACAAATGTCCTTCCTTTGTAACAACAGCTAGAACTGTGTCCCTCACCACAGAGCTTCATAAACAGCACTACATTGCTGCTTGTGTGTTAAAGGGTCATTGTCCTCACACAGGTTTCACTGGTTTCCTCTCTTTTTATTTTATGGCCCAGTATTGTGCAGGGCGACTAATTGGAAAATGCATCCATAATCTAAACCTTTCATTTGAAAATAACAAAACAAAGAGCACATGTAAAAGGCAAAGTCAGCATCAGGAAAGCTCTCTGAGAGCACTGTCTCTCCACCATTCTTGACTTTACAGTGCCTAGGGATGCCCAGTAATAGCAGAACTACTGAAAACGTGTCATGGGTCAGTATGGGGAGTAAAGTGGAACTCGGGATAACCAGGGTAGATAAATGCAGTGCCCACGATCATCAGAGGTAAAACCATGACAGCAGTCATTTGTATTGGCCTTCCAGTTCTTTGTGGTGGAAGAGGGAAAATGTATTCACAGTGGCACCCAATGATTTAGATAATATTTTGAATCAGCTGTCACCTGAATGTAGGCTAGATCAAAAGCTATGCAAAAGTGACCTTTCTGAGATTGGTCCTGTGAGTCTGTGGAGAGTAGCATAATTGCTGCCTTTGGTCCTGCCCTGCTCAGGTGTCTAAGGATGATCGCAGTGATGTAGAGAGCAGCTCAGAGGAAGAAGAAGACACCAGCCACACAAACAACCTCTCTGGCCGCAGCTCCAGCAATGGTGCCAACTGTGTGAATGGCCACATGGGAGGCAGCCACTGGGCTGAAGAGCATGGGACTTGTAAGGCTGTTGGCAACCCGCTCTTTGGGGCCTCCCCACATCTGCAGGCCTGCGACTAGATGGACTGCAAGGCACTGAGGAGGATCAAAGAAACAGTTTCATGTTTTAAAGAAACTGCTGTTTTGTATTTAATGCCCCTGGTCCTTTCAGTAATGTTATTTGCTCTGTGTTTGTATGTGTTTGTGTGTTTGTGCATTGTGCATGTGGATGAGTTTCATTGACAGGTTTGGGGCACAATTCTGGACCACTAGGCATGGCCTAGTCACTTATGAACCCACCTCAAACCAGCGTTGGCTGCGTATTGAATTACGCTGTTTGTCTCTAGACCATCTGCATCTTTGTCCCATGGCTCTTGAGGCTCTAAGTTCCTGGTCCATCTAAATCAATGGTGCCACCAGATCCAGCTCCAGACCTGGGGAACAGTTCTTCTGGAGCAGGAAGCGGTGCTTCACCTGATACCCAGGACCACTGTGGCCTCTAGCTACATCTCCTTCCTACCATCCGATAGCGACAGGGACAACTACTCATGCCCTGCTTTTTACTCACTGGTACGCAGGGAGGGGGTGGAAAGGATGAGCTGAGGTATGGAGAGCAGCAGCTCTCTAGGTGTGCTGAACGGTTTTATACTATTGTTTACTCTTCTGTAATTAAAGTTTTTGTTTCAACCCTTCTCTATTGTCTTCATCTCTTTAGTGACTGTCATCAATGCCCTGGTTAAATTTGGGGTTATTTATTTGGAGACAAGGTCTGTGAGACTGGCCTCAGACCCGACAACCTGCTGCCGGAACCTCCTCGGTGCTGGGCTTACAGACATACACCATAAGATTTTCTCCACAGGGGCTGTAGAGATGGTTCAGCAGTTAAGAGCACAGAATGCTTTTGCAGGGGTTTGGTTTCTAGCACCCAAACTAGCAGCTCAAAACTGCCCATAACTCCAGTTCTGAGGATCTGATGCCTACTTTGGGCTTCACTGTCACCTGTATGGGTGTATACATATACATAAAGTAAGTTTTCTAAAATAATTATTTCTAATTCAAGAAAAATTTGGACATCAAAATTTTCTTTCTCTGCATGCTAAGAAGAATTAGCCAAAATGGCTACATCTTTGAGCTTTATGTCTTAAGAAAAAAGTGAGGGGCTGGAAAGATGGTTCAGAGGTTAAGAGCATTACCAGCTCTTCCAAAGTTCCTGAGTTCAATTCCCAGCAACCACGCGGTGGCTCACAACCATCTGTAATGAGGTCTGATACCCTCTTCTGGCTTGCAGGCATACAGACAGACAGAATATTGTATACATAATAAATAAATTTTTTTTAAAGTGACATGTTTAATTGGTGTGCTGGCTACTTTTATGTCAGCTTGACACAATAATTATATAGTCATTTTGGAAAAGGGAACCTTAGCTGCAAAAATGTCCCAACTGTATTGGCCCATGGGCAAGCCTAATGGTGCATTTTCTTAAATTGATTGACGAATGGAGGGGGGACACACAGCCCATTGTGGGTGGGGTCATCCCTGAGCTGATGGTCCTGGGTGCTGTAATAAAGCAGGGTGAAGCCTGGCAATGGTGGCGCACACCTTTAATCCAGGCAGAGGCAGGAGGATCTCTGAGCTCAAGGCCAGCCTGGTCTACGGAGTGAGTTCCAGGACAGGCTCCAGCTCCAGGGATATTTGACATGATAAAGCAAGGTGAGCAAACCATAAAGACAAAGCCAACAAGCAGCTCCCCTAATGGCCACTGCATCAGCTCTTCAGGTTCCTGCGCTGTGTGAGTTAGTGTTTGAGCACCAGTAGCAGAAGCTCTAAGACAAATGGCCACAGCAGCGTTGCTCAGCAGATAAATGTAACAACCAAAGGAGAGTCTGGAGAAGCTAAGACACTTAGAACACCTGTTCTCACCACAGAGCCATGGGTATGCCATGTTCTCTTTTGTGTTTTAACCCATGGAGAAAGTAGTCCTAATCCAGATTTTTCTCAAGGAGTAATTTATTCCAGAATAGTTTTCTGCTTGGTGGTCATTTAAGTTATAAAAATATCTCTAGAGAGGGCCGGAGAGATGGCTAAGAGGTTAAAGCACTGGCTGCTATGTCAGAGATTCTAATTCCCAGCAACCATGTGGTGGCTCACAACCATCTATAATGAGATCTGGCGCCCTCTTCTGGCCTGAAGACATACATGCAGGCAGAACACTACATAAAATCTTTTTTAAAAAAATCTCTAGAGGATTTATGTACATGGTGATGGTGAAGAAGGTTGAAAATGCTGTATCAGCTTTAGTGCTTGTAATTGAGCACTTGGCTGAAACATGATGTCGAGGCCAGCCTGAGCTACACAGTAGAGACTTTCTCACACGAAGAGGAAATAGAGTGGGGCCGGGGAGTTTAGTGGTTCAGAGCATGTACTGCTGCTCTTCCAGAGGACCCACAGGCGGCTCACAAACATCTAGGGTTCCAGCCCCAGGGATATTTGACTTCCGGGCACACACATATTTGCATACACCCATATACATGATTAAAAATAATAAAACAGTGCTTCACCTATGGGACATACTTTCAGTTCCAGCACTGGACACAGAGACAGGCAGACTTATGTGAGTTTGAGGCCAGCTGAAGCTAGACAATGAGACACTAGCTTTTTTTGTTTGTTTTTGTTTTTTGAGAGGGTTTCTCTGTAGCTTTGGAGCCTGTCCTCTTGTAGACCAGGCTGGCCTCGAACTCACAGAGATCTGTCTGCCTCTGCCTCCTGAGTGCTGGGATTAAAGGCGTGTGCCACCACCACCTGGCTTATTTATTTATTTTTAAAGGAAATGGAAAGGAATATTCTGGGCTGAGAAGACAACTCAGTGGATAAAAGTCTCATGATATTAGTTTGATCCCTGGGCCCCACATGGTAGAGAACCAACTCCTGCAAGATGTCATCAGATCCTCCACACACACACACACACACAAAGAAACAGGCATTCTAACTCACTAAGGTAGAGGCAGTGGTACTAAACATGTTTTTCTGGTTTTCAAATACCGAGGGTCGGGGAAAAGGAGTTTCTGAGCAGTCATTCTTTCAGTGCTAATCAAGAAGGCTGGCAGTGCTTCTGAAGCTGAGAAGCCAGGCAGTGCTGGTGCATGCCTTTAATCCCAACATTCTGTGAATTCGAGGCCTGGCCATCTAGGGTCACGGTAAGACTGTCTAGAACCGACACATACCATTTGTATTTTTTAGCTGTATTTTTAATCTGTGCTGGGTGTGTGATGAGAGCAGGCCCTGAACTGAAGCTGTGCCATTGAAAGGTCTATTGTATCCCTATCCCCTTCATCTTTGCTTCCCAGCCACTGCGATAAGAGAATCCCTGCTGTACTCCAACAGCAGAGCCAAGTGTAATGGACTGAGACGGGAGCCTATTAGAATTGCCTTTGCTCCCTGACTCTGCCCCTTCCCCTTTTATTGGATTAATTTTTAAAACTTTATTATTGGTTATGCAAGTGAGCCATGTTTTTGTGTAGAAGTCAGAGGACAACCTGTAGGAGCCAGTTCCTTCTACCATGGGTGTGAGGGATCGAATTCAAGTCACCAGGCTTGCACAGCGAGTGTTTTCTTTCCTGTTGAGCCATCCCACCAGCCTGGGGAGTTATTAACTTTACTCGGTAGAGAGTGTTTTCTATATTCTGGGCACCAGTGTTTGCTTTATCATTACTAGGTTTGTATATACATACTCATATGCATGCTATGCAGATGTCAAAGGACAACTTTGTGGAGTCGGTCCTCACCTTCCGCTTTTGTGTGGCCCTGGGGATTGAACTCAGGTCCCCAGGCTCAAGCAGCCAGCACCTTCACCTTCTGAGCCATTTGGAATTTAGTGGTGGTTAAGATTCAGTGTTATGTGCAGTATCCGGCACGTTTCTCTAGAGAAATCCCAGAGGGTGATCTGAAATTAGTTTCGTGTGTGTGTGTGTGTGTGTGTGTGTGTGTGTGTGAGCACAATGTATGACATTTTGCCTGCATGTATGTCTGATGCCAGAAGAAAGTGCTGGATCCCCTGGAACTGCAGTTACAGACAGTTGTGAGCCACCACATGGGTGCTGGGAATCAAAAGCAGGTCCTCTGGAAGAGAAGCCAGTGTTCTTACCTGCTGAGCCATCTCTCCAGCCCTGAGAGTACAACTTGTCTGCAGAAGAGAGCAAGCTGGTGTTTCCCAGACTACACAGGAAACACATGTAAGCTTTCAAATTCACATGAAGTGGGGAGGGACAGGGTTTAGAATTCTCCAGCCTTGGGGCTGGAGAGGTGGCTCAGTGGTTAAGAGCATTGCCTGCTCTTCCAAAGGTCCTGAGTTCAATTCCCGGCAACCACATGGTGGCTTACAACCATCCAGAATGAGGTCTGGTGCCCTCTTCTGGCCTGCAGGCATGAACACAGACAGAATATTGTATACTAAATAAATAAATATTAAAAAAAAAAAAAAAAGAATTCTCCAGCCTCTGGTTTCTTTGCTGAATGAGTGAACTCTTTTTAATCTTTTTCCTCAGGACTGTTTTCTTTAACTGGCAGAGCTCTGTAATCAGCTCTCTCCATGTAGCTAGTCTTGTGTGTGTGTGGTGTGGTATGTGTGTGTGTGTGTGTGTGTGTGTGTGTGGTTTTTCGAGACAGGGTTTCTCTGTGTAATTCTGGCTGTCCTGGAACACAAAGATCAGCTTTCCTCTCTGCTTCTCGAGTGCCACCATGCCTGACTGGGTTTATTTCCTTTTATTGTATGTGTATGAGTGTTTTGCCTGTATGTATGTCTTTGTGCATGTGTGCCTGATACCCAGAGAGGCCAGAAAAGGGCAGTAGGTCCCCTGGAACTGGAGTTACAGACAGCTGTTATGTGGGTGCTGGGAACTGAACTCAGATTCTCTGGAAGAGCAGCCAGCGCTCTTAATCACTGAGCCATCTCTCCAGCCCCGTTGTCTATTGAACTTAACCAAAGCCCTTAATTTACTTTGCCTCACCTCCCCCAGGAGCTGTGTGAAGTCATACTGTATTATTTTCAGTTTCCAGTTCTGTCTTTTATGTCTCTTTCTTGGAAGCTCATCTGTTTCTGGATGCTGGTTTCACGATATTTTAGTCTGCGTTAAGCCAGCACGTGTTTCTTTCATACACTCCCACATCACTCCAAGCATAATTCCTTTTCTGCCCAGCAAAGGTCTAGTCCTGTTTTGTTTTTCATTATTTTAAATTTAATTTAGGGTGCTGGAGAGATGGCTAAGTGGTTAAGACCAATTACTGTTCTTGCAGAGGACCTGGGTTTGGTTCTCAGCACCCACATGGCAATTGACAAGCCTCTGTAACTCTAACCCCAGGGGATCCTATGCCGTCCTCTGGCCTCTGTAAGGTCCTACATGCACATGGTACACATAAACTAATGCAAGCATATACATATACACTATAAACAAATAAATGAAAAGTATTTGTTTACTAAGTCTTCAGAGATAAGGTCTCATTCTGTGGCCCTGGCTCTCATCGAACTATATAGTCTAGGCTGGCCTCAACCTCTTGAGTATTCTGACTTCCACACGGATAAATAAGTGTGGTAAAACATTTTAAAAACCTCATGTTGGTCCTCACATTGTTCTACCTTACTGTCAGAATGTATTTGACGGCTGTTTGGATAAGGCATCTTTAAGAGCTCTGTGAGCCC